AAGGAGATCAGTCCTGGGTGTTCATTGGAAGGACTGATGCTGAAGCTGAAACTCCAGTACTTTGGCCACCTCATGTGAAGAGTTGACTCATTGGAAAAGACGCTGATGCTGGGAGGGATTGGGGGCAGGAGGAGAAGGGGACGACAGAGGATGAGATGGCTGGATGGCATCACCGACTCGATGAACATGAGTTTGGGTAAACTCCGGGAGTTGGTGATGGACAGGGAGGCCTGGCATGCTGTGATTCATGGGATCGCAAAGAGTCGGACACAACTGAGTGACTGAACTGAACTGAGCAGAACGGAATTACCAAAACATGAATATAGAAATGTGGTGACAAAATAAAGACACAGGGCTTTGAAGAAGTCCTGTGAAGACTAATAAACATTTTTTTCTGCAATTAACTTCACAAACTAATCTGTCCACACCTGAAATGGAAATTTTATTCTATTTTCACTTAACATTCTTTTGCACCTCAAGTGGCTTGTCTTCATTTGGGCACTCCAAGGTAAGGGTGTGCATTAGTCATTTCCTGGTGTATGTGTTTTAACACCTCTATGCACATAACACTTTCTTATCTTTATGGTCATTTGTCCATCAGTGCAACTTGGATGCAAGAATAAGAGGGATGTCACCATTCCCAGTTTGGCTTAACATGTTTGTGTGGCCTTGTGATGAGCTTGAAGCCAGATATACCAGGCCTACCTGTCCTCAAGCCACAAGAGCTCACAAGGACCAAACCTCTGAAACATGTCCACCTGCCCGGGCTGGTTTGAACCAGTCAACTGCAGTATATGCCCTGCCCAGTTGCTTCTCGTGGATCCATAAACTCCCAGTTTTGCATACTGCATTTTTTCCTCTTAGGTCTACTTCAAAACCCCTCATTTAATATACAAGGCAAACCCTTCTAAGTTAGGCGTTTCTTTGGATAGGCTTTTGGTGTCTCATGCTCCAACTCACAAGACAGCAATTGCTAACAACTATCAGACTCTGGCCTTAAGCCTCGTGTCTGGTCCTCATCAGTGGCTCTAATTTACTGGATACTGTGAGTGTCCTGAAGCTAACCACCTGGAATTGTTTTAAAGAACAGTCCTCTAAGGAGAAATCAACTTACAGTGAGGGCTCACACCCGCCCAGCTTCTCACCGCACCCAAGACACGTCCTGCCTCTTTGACTCTGTATCCCGGCCTTCAAGGCCCTCCTAGCTCCGGCCTGCTGCCTCCGGCTTCCTGGCTGCCTGCTCCCTGACTTTGCCAGTGTCTTGCTCCAGGTCTGGAAGGCTCTTTGCCCTTGACTTGTCCAGAGGTCATCGCACTCCCTGTGAAAGCTCCTCCACAGGCACACTAAACCGTTCCCACAGCAGTTGGGTCTTCCTCTCTTCTCTGGATCCAGACAACTATTTATCCATACCATTCACTTCCCAGGTGCCATGTATTTAATTATGACTCTGTTGTGTCTCAACATTAACTTCTCATGGTACTACTCAACTTGTCATGACCATTATTCTCCACTTGCCCCTAAGTTTCTTGAGAGCATGGGTCCTGTTTTCTACATCTTTGTATCCCTCAGGGCACCAACCAGAGTTAGCACACAGTAGACTCAGTACATATTTGCTGATAACATCTAAGACTCCAGAAGCCTTATCCTTGTGAGAGATTGGGGGGGAAATATGTATAGTCAATGGGAAAAAAAAAAAAAAAACCTGTCTATGTATGTATTCAGTGATGCCAGCTCTCTCGAGAGATAAATGAAGCCAGCCCGCTGTCCTCCTGGCCTGGTGTCTTTCATGGACTCCATCTCCGCTCTCTGCTCTGCCTCTGCTCTGCTCTGTCACACTCGAAAGAGGCCCTGGTGGACAGATTCTCTAAGCGCTACTACTCTGCCTTCTGCCCTCTTTCCCTTTTCTGCTCCTAGGCTCCTCATCTGGGTCAAGAACCTAACACTTGCTCTTCCACTGTGTCTTGATTCACGTTAGAATCCACAGGCTCTGACAGTGATCAGGACCGAATTTCCCCACACCCACACAAGTCTGTGCTCCCTCCCTCAGTGTGTGGAGGTGTGAGTCATCCTTCTGGTTATTTATCCTCTCCAGTGTCAGCATCCTTGTGATGCTCTGTTTCATATATATTTATCTAAATAATGTGTATAATATATATATATTTTAGAAAACTTAGGAATTTTTGCCTCAGTAAAAAATGTATGATATTTTTGATTCCACTGGTTTGACTTAGTGTGAATAGACTGCTAGATTTCTAATTTAAAAAAAATACATATGCAACATTTGCAACCTAATAAGCCCTTGAGAAAAAATAACTGTTAATAGTCCATCTTCATGATTATCATTGTAGCTGTTCCTGGGGTCAGGCAGTGAGGTCACTGTTCTTCTCATTCTCCCAAAGCATTTCTGGATCATTCTCTTCCACCTCCTGGTGAAGACCCCTGCCCTGCGGAGTACCTGCTGCTCGGGGAACATCACCCTCGGCTCCTCCTTGGCGCTGTGAGCAGAGCCACTGGCTCACAGGTACTTTGTCTTCTCTTCATCAACTAGTCCTGTGTCTTGCTCTGGGGTTTAGATTTCACTGCAAACCATCTCCATCCCACTCTTGCCCAAACCCTAAACTCCCTTGTCCATCTTCTGACTTCTCCAGACACATCTCATCCCTGCATGGCATCAGTTCTGCTTTCTCTGTGCCAGTGCCCGGGCTGGTAAGCTCTGAACTCATCTGGCTGATGTTTACAGGAACTTTTTAATGTACTTCATAATACAGATTATTCTGAAATTTTCTTTCTGTCATACATTGTGCAGAGCCCTGAGTATTTGTGAAAGACCTGATTTGCTCCCAAATGAATGGAAATGGCAACCCACTCCAATACTCTTGCCTGGAGAATCCCATGGACAGAGGAGCCTGTAGGTCTACAGTCCATGGGGTTGCAAAGAGTCGGACACAATGGAGCATGCACACACTAATAATAGCAGTGAAGACATGACAGAGCCATGACTTCTTGAAACCTAAAGCTGTGGCTTCAGGTCTGTAAAATAAATGGGGATGATTTTCATTTCTTTATGCTGTTGGATAGTATAACAGGGCAGAATTAACCTCTTCCTTAAATGTTTCGTAATAAGTAGTGTTGATCGATTTTAATGTGGAGATTTGGCCTTTAAAATAAGAATCATTTAGAAATGGAAATTACTTAAATTGACATAGATTCAGTAATAAAATCAGGAAGGAATATTTGACTTTAAGCATGTCTCTGAGTTCTGGATTGTTCTTCAAGACAGCTTTTGATCAGTTTACTTTTGGTCAAGACAGCATCTTCTGGGCTTTTGGTCTTAAAGTGCCTGGTTGCAGACTATAGGAAAGAACAGCTAGTTAAGGGATCACTGAGTGATGAATTTGGGCACAGTATTCCACTTCCCTTCACCTCAAGACTGAGACATACAAACCCTGCCCGAGTTTCTGGTCTGCAGGTTTGCCAGGCCTCACCATTATGTGAGCCAATTTATTACCAAAAAAAGAAAAGTGTGTGTGCGCGTATATGTGTGTGCATGTGTGTGTGTGTGTGTGTGTATGTGTATTGTATTGGTTTTGTTGTGTAGAGACCTGACTGATACTCATAAACCAAAGTCAGCTACATTTGTAACTGTCCCTTCACTTTCCAGGGGCCATGATCCGCTGTACTTTCCTTCCTGTGACATCACAGGCAACACAAGCCATCACTGAACTAAAGTTTCATGAGCACTTAGGAGAACCTAAACTCTCAGATACTTCAAACAGCAAACTCATGCAGTTTTTCAAAAGTATTTTTTTAAAGTAATAACACTTTGGGAAATATTCACAAAATTATATGAAATTTCTTAAATCAATAGAAAATCTGTAAATACTTGGGCAACATCCAGTGCACTTTAAGAAAAAGTTCTGATTTTTCTTAAACTTCATTCGAGTCAAGTATGATCCCAATTTTGATCTTTTTTAAAAAATCAAAAGCAAAACTGAAAAAATGTATGCACATCGTTCATTTCCTTGAGATGGAATTACATATAGATATTTAAATTTTATTTACAGTGAACATATGTTACATATATTATTAGAAAAAATAAAGATTCTGAAAAACATTTTCATATTACACATTTAAAGAAGAATTGGCAATTTTGAATAATGCAGATGAAATTAAAGAAATGTTGAAAAACATTGAGAAGTTGAAAACTCCGGGGTATAGGGATCTCAGTTGATTTGGTAGCATCACAAATCTATGTGTGAGGCACTGAGATGGACCAAAAATACAGGTAAGAGTCTTAACCATCACACAATGGGAGGAAGTTAGAGATTTAGCTTCCTGGAAAAGCCAAGCTCAGAGATCTGAACGCTGGGTAGTGGAATATGACACTCTATTAAAAAGTAAGGCTGTTAATGGGGGCCCAGAGTCTTGGTGGATCAACACTGTGTCCGTTCACCAGTGCCCACTGGGGACACCCCCACAGTGAAGGAGAAGGATGAAGCAGAGGGTGGCTGAACAAGATGAAAGGACTTGGGAACAAACTGTTATCCAGAGAGATTGAACCATAGAGAACTAAGAAAAGGAACTCAACTCTTACTGTTTGTGTTTTTTTAAAAAAGCAAAACAAAACAAACGTGTGTCATAATAAGTTAAATTGAAATGAGTTGCATCTGAAAATACAGCTGCAGCAGATGAGAAAGATATTCAGAAATATATTTAAACTTTGAGAAACTTTATCAATCACATGCCATCTCTTCTGGATGAACATCCTTTCACCAAATCATGTAAAGGCTTTATGAGTTTTTCAGAAAAGGGCACCTTGGAAATTTAAGTTATTTTTATCACTTTTATTGAAAAGGCTGTTTTTTTTGCTGTAAGGCTGAATTCTTTGATGCAAGCTTAGTAGCCTTGGAGTGAATCTGAATGCAGTTTTCGGAGCAGTTGAGAAAAGTCATGCATTGTTGAGATGCCAGCCTTCCTTCAAGAAATCATTTGAAAATAACTGATAAAGATCCTTAGGGCTCTGAATTATTGTGAAGTGTGGTATTCAAAGAAACTGGTAGTTTGGAACACTTTTCTATAATTATGTACTGTTGAATTCTGAAATGTCACATAGCAGTGTAAGAGCAAGATACATTCATTTTTAACTCACCATGGACAAAATGCATAGATGCAGTCTCCAATTTGAGGCTAAGGAGGTGGCTGTGGGTGCACCAGTCAGATTATCTTATTGACTGATCTTAGTGGTCATCACCCCATGCCGTGGCCTTTAAGGAAGGAAATGACTGCATCAGCCGTTTCAAGGATTTGGCAAAGATATATCAAATGCCAGAGGGAAAGATGGATAGGATCAATGACAACGAAAGTCCTCATGAGACCAAGGACTGGCCCATGACCAACATAACATCCCATAGAAAGCAGTAACACACCATTCTCACACAAGAACCAAATTGTATCATTTCTGAAGTTTGGGCATTTGTAGACTTGTTTTTGAGAATTTTCTTGTTGCTTTGTAGCACAATTTGAACTTTAAAACTTCTCTTATATATTGAGTCACTCATTTAGTAGTAGTAGTCAGTGCACACCATGCTCTTTCTGTACCAGGCACCATAGTTTACAGGTGGTGTCCCACCACAACCCTGTAAGATAGGGGGTTGTGTCCACTCCCACTTCGTAGAGGAGAAGACTGAGTCACGGGGGGTTAACTTGCCTGAGGTTACACAACTCTTCGGTGACACAGCTAGACTTCAAAGACAGGTAGCCGAGCTTGCAAGTTGAGGCCTGTACACTGTGACCCCTCACACTGCAGCTTCTGTGTCTATCCGGTGTCGTTAAGGAGGCAGCACTTAGCTTGTTTCTGTAGGTGAAGCATGAGACAAGATTTTTTTTTTAAGTTTTAATAAATGAAGCATTTTTCTACTTTCTAAAAGCCCATGTGCATATACACTGAGCAGTTCACCACGTAGCCTCTAGTGCCCCCAAACAGTGTCTGTTGTGAGCCAGTTTCACATCCTTCCATGTTCGTAGACTGGTGAAAGCCCACATCCTGCTCTCATACCAGACCCGGTGTACAGTGTGCAGATTGTTTGGGCTTGTTTTTCTGCTTGATGCTAGTGGTGACCCTCGAGGAAGATCACTTGGCACCAGTGGCATTCTTGTGGGAACAGAAGGGTGATGTCCAGCCTTACCAAAGGGGCTCACTGAGCTCTGTTCCCGTCCTCATGTTGGAGGCTGATTCCTCACTGCCCTTGGCTGCCCGGCAGGCGGTCCTGCTGCAGCAAGTGGCTTCTCCCTGTCTCCCATGTTGCTGGAGGCAGGACCAACCAACCGGGCCTCCTTTCAAGCCTCTGACCTCCCCACCGGGCCCTCCCCACCTGCCCCTCTGCTTCCGTTACTGCTGCTCTGCAGATGCCAGGGCCTTACTGGCACCCCCCACTGCACCCCACTCGCTCTCCAGGAGGGGTCTTACAGGCTCCAGATTGCAGAGAGGCGGGTGTAAAAAGTTGCTACTTCAGGCCCTTTCACGAGCTCGATGCCACTGCTCTTGGGACAGAACTTCCCAGAAATGTGGGGCAGCTGACACCCAGTGGTGGAGAAGAGGAGGAGACTGGCTAGTCAGCAACAGGAGATGGGAACAGACAGGTGGGTTCTCCTCCTTTGCCCCTCCCCAAGGGACTGCGTGGGAACCCAGTGCATCCACACACTCTCTCCGGGGGTGTCCTATGTATTCTGAGCAGCTGGGATGTTTCTCTGGTAAAGTCTGGATGGCTTGGCACACACGCCTTTGACCTGCTGCCTCTCTCCTCCTGCCTCACTCACTTGGTCCCTTCACGTCTGCCTCCCTTGAGTATGTCCTCAGCAAAGGGGTGTGTGCACACGCATGTGTGCATTCTCTTGTGTCCAACTCTGAGACCCCATGGACTGTAGCCCACCAGGCTCCTCTGTCCATGGGATTCTCCAGGCAAGAACACTGGAGTGGGTTGCCATTTCCTTCTCCAGGGGATCTTCCTGACCCAGGTACCGAACCTGGGTCTCCTGCATTGACACACAGATTCTTTAAGGCTGAGCCACTGGGGAAGTCCAAGCAAAGCTTTAGCGCTTAGGTTTTGCCGTAGGTTCAGTTTTCTGGGGAAACCAGTAAATACCATTTTTCCCCATCACAGTGAGAAGCTGAGGCTCAGTAAGGCTTCAGTAACCCACCCAGGACAGCACTGCGAGGAGACAAGAGCTCAGATGCTCACATCAGCACATCTTGCTTCAGAGCCCGGACTCCTCCCTCTGCTCCTCACTGTCTCCAGTGGGGATGGGGGGCGGAGGGGTGCCAGGGAGTCTGTGTGGTTTCCATGTGGTAATTCATCAGCACAGTCCTCAGAACCTGTGAGAATGATTCAGTGAAGGACATTGTAAATATCCAAGCAGAGCATGATAAGGCAGCCCTGAAATGACTGACTGGGTGAGCCGTCAATAAAAGCAGATGGTTAAACCACCATCACTGGACACTTAGATGCCACTTTGTATAGTCATGTCTAGATGGAATCACTTTGATGAACCAGCTTAAAGGTCATGAAAGAAGCTGCTCCAGGGAGGAGATACAAGTTCCAGCGAGAAGCGAGGGCTCCTCCCCAGCCCAGCTCAGAGCTCCGTCATGCACAGAATCGCTGGGCCAGGCTCCTCTACAACATCTGAATCTGTCTGTTCTTTCCACAAAGATCCCCGAGAACAAAGTGTACAAAGATTCATCTTGAAACAAAGCAGAGAGGTCCTGACTGCCAGAGACTGAAACGGGATGGATTCCCTGCTCCTGAACAGGGTGTTACTGGCAGAGTCCTATATGTGTCCAGGGATTTGGGCTCAGAACTGCACTTTGGAGACTGGAAAAAGACCGAATTTGGACCCTGAAAACACTGCTCGGCATCTCTCCAGATCGTGGGTTAGGAAGTGAACCTTTTCACTTGTGTCCCTCCTATGAGAAAGAGCTGGTTTTTTGTGTGATTGTAAAGTCAAGACTGTTTACAGATCTAATCATTTTATCTTGGTCTGATAAAAGTGTTGATGGGTCGGCCCCTTGAAAAGAGTCGTTAGTTTACAGGTTCAAAACAAATTACAAAAAACACGTAGATTTGTGTATTGTGCTGGCCAAAAAGCTCGTTCAGATTTTTCCATAAGATCTTATGGAAAAACCCAAATGACCTTTTTGGCCAACCCAGTATATGCAAAGAAAGCATCCATACCACCTGCCTGATACTGAAACCCCTGCCTCTGAACTGGACAGGCATCCCAGAGGCCTCCAGGAGCTCTGCTGCGCCACAGTAGAGGTGACGCCTCTGAGCATGGCTGGCAGCAGAGATTGTTCTCAGTGAGGTCTTTTCCTTTGGGGAGCACAGTTGCAGTGCCAACCCCCCACCTAAAGGATCAGCACCTACTTCTTATTAATAAAACAGCCCTTATCCTCTCATCCCTCAACCCCCCCCCCCCCCAAAAAATCTGCTCAAAGAGCTTAAACCACCATGTCTCAGATTTCAGTATCAGTCACCTGGAGGTCTTGATAAAATGAAGTGACATTTTGATTCAGTAGTTTGGAATGGGGCCCAAGATTCTGCATCTCTTCCAGATGAAATGACTTCCAGGATAGGTCGGTGCTTATCTGTGAACAACGCTTCAAGTAGCAAGAGCTTAGAAAACCATCCCATTTTCCTTCTGAATATTTTAAAGCTGATTTGGCCCTTAGAAAAATTTGCCCCTTGAAAGTGCCTCACATGCTACCAACAAGCTGTTCTGGGCACCACTGCAGAAATGTTTAAACAGATGGGGCTGAAGTATGAAGCACTGAAAGCATTATGCTAGAGTTGTTCTCTTGGCCACATTTGTTTAGTTCTCGGCACAAGCACAAACTCAGTGCTGACCTAAAGGCTTACTTTCAAAATTACACATAAAAATGGATTTTACTGACACTCCTTGGCTAAATGTGCTTGTCCCTGGGACCACCAGGCTCATTTCATTCAGTCTCAAATTGGTTATTTTCTATCAGGTAATTTCGATTTTTGTATGGGGTAAGAAGATTTTAATGGTAAAGCACATAAACAGGAGCAGTTTAATTGTGTATTTAAATTCTATGTTTGATGGAACAGAAGTAACACTTATTATTCTGCCTCTATTTCAGGGTTCTCATTTTCTGCTTGGAGAATTCAGTCATTTTAATGTCAAATAAAAAACAACTAAAAACATTGTGGAAAATGCAACTGGTTTAAACCATGTTAAACTGCCTTAAACAGATGAGGGAGTGGGGTATTAAACTAGACAGCTTTTTCCAGATGCTTTAGAAATATTTACTATGTACTGCCTTTTACCCCCAAAAGCATACATTATCTCTTGTAGAAAAATAACTTTTTTGGAGAAAAATAAACATGTGGGTTTGTACAAACTATACCAATTCTTAGGTTTATCCCTCACATTCATTTATTTTTTTTTATACCTAGGATCTTTATTCTTAGGTCTAATATTGAGTCTGTGGCTGCAGGTAATAATGACCTGTTTTGAGAATAAAAGGTCCCATTATCTTCATTCAAGTCTTCAGCCACAAAGTTTCACCTTATTCTCGTACAAGATAAGGGTTGGTAGGGGATTAAGGAAGTACACTGGCGATGAAAGCAAAAGGGAACACTTATATAAGCATATCGTCCCAGTTACCGTGAAGGTTACACTTCAGGTTAATTTACACAAGTAGTGACAGAATCCTGATTTCAGTGAAAATCAACACATTATACCTTTTAAAAAAACAATTCAGAAATACTAAGTCAGACAAGCATGCAAAATTCAGAGTATAAACAAACGCAATGGCTGGCTGCCCAAACAGGTATTATCCTCAGAAAGAGATTTTTGAAAATGCTGCACAGAACAAAAGGAATTAGAAGCTTAATTAGCAGACCCATTTCCTCACTTTATATATGAGGCAAGTGGGCAGCCATAAACTGGTAAAGCTTACTCAGCCAGGTTAAGAATGCAATAAAAAAAAAAAAAAAAGAATGCACAGAGATCTAATTCCTGGTGCTATCTGCAATTACATGTATCTAAAATTCAAAGAGATAAATATCCAGAACACATCAAACCCACTGATTTAAAGAAAACATTTCAAGGGTGAGGGTGAAGTTGTTACTATAACATAGCAGCACGTTGTACATATTTAAGAGATTTAATGGAAAGAAATAATCTATTTTAGTGCTCGGTTTTGATCAACACAAGTTTCCAGCCAACTTTCTGATATACAGCAAAATATGACAAGTGCTCAGGCCTGGTGCACTGGGAAGAGCCAAA